CCACTGCCCACTGCCCGTGCCAGGGGGGTGGGGCTGGCCGGCCAGGACTGTGACTTGGGCAGGGTGCCCGAGACCAGCGGTAGACCATGATTGCCAGGGCCAGCGGCTGACACAGTGGCTTTGACACTCATGACCAGGAGGCACTGGGGACAGGCGCAGGCGGGGACCGGGGGGGCCGCTGCCGCCCCAGGGCTGGCCGGCCAGGACTGTGACTTGGGCAGGGTGCCCGAGACCAGCGGGTAGACCATGTCAAGGCGGCGGCGGATGCGGCGCTTGCGCTGGGTCTGCCGGTTGATCTGACCCATGGTGGCAAAGTCGATGACATAGCAGAAGCCAATGGCACTCAGGTCCACCCAGGGGTGCTGCTTCTCATAGGCGCGCTGGATGGTGATACCCACATCCATGTCGTAGGGTGTCCATGACCCGCTGTCATTCTCCCACTCCCACACGACTCCCTTGCCTGGTGCTGACGATGGGTCGTAGTAGCTGCGCCGGACAGGGCGGATAGTGCCTGAGGGAGGGTGAGAGATGCTGTCAGACTCTGGCGCCAGGACCCACCTGTGGGCAGGGAGCGAAACCACCCCAACCTGCCCCGCCGGTGCTGTTCAGCACGGGGACAGGACAACTTTCTGGCTCAGCAGTTGTCCCTGCCCTGCCAGGGGACTGGTGTGCCTTGGTTTCTCCAGGCCACTGCCTGCAAGCCGCACTGCTGCTGGCGCACCCAAAGGGCCAGGGAGCCCCTGGGCTGTACGTGCACAGCACTGGGGTGCACCCCCAGTGTGACCGGGATGAGGAAAGGGCAGATTTCACCCCCATCAGTCTACAGGGGTGGCCGCCCTCCCAGCCCCAGCATGCAGCCACTCAGCCCTGATGGGGAAACACAGAACCACAAGCTTGGCCGCTCCAACCTGCTCCCAGGGACCTCCTGCGGGAGCCTGATGAAACCAGGCATGTAGGCACCGGACTCCTGCCGGAGACGGCCCTGTCCCCCTCTCAGCTCTGGACCGGGATGGGGGAATAAGATTTAAGGGCAGCTCTGAGCCCCGCAGAGGTGACATGCACAGGCACCCACGTGCGCAGGGGAGCAGGGCTTGTGCCAGCCCCACCATCTGCAGCTGCCAAACTGGCCTGCGACGAAAACCCAGCCCGTGGCAGAGGGAAAATCCCCGCGAGGCCAAGTAAAGGAGTTTGAGTGGGGCCCTGTGCCCGGCTCCTGCTCCCCCATCAGCAAGCGTTAAGAGTGGGATGAGTGCAGAGCATGAAGGCTTTGTGGCTTGCATCCTTATTTTTGCTAGGCGTTTCCTTTCCCACCGCTCCCAGTTGACTAGGACGCATTCAAAGCACGGACACAAATTTTAGAAACTCCTACAATGAGGAGAAAGCCTTCCTCTTTGGGACGTTTCATGGCACAGCAGGGCAGGCTGAACACAGCCAGGCTCAGCCTCAGGGTCCCATCCTGAGCATGCTACTAGCACCCAGAGTTGTTTGGTTAATAGGTGGGATGAGCTCACGAACATAGCTGCCTCCATGCTCTTCTGCAAAACCCCATGGCTTGGCCCCCCTGCCAGCGGTAGAAACAAGAAAGGTCAAAGAGAAGAAATAATAAGCCTGCTTCTTCGGCTTTTCACCACGTGTCTTGCAAAGCCTGCAAGAATTTCACTCCCTTTTCACCCCCACCTCTCCGCTGGGAGCAGCCGCCACCATCAGTCCCCACACAGGACCACTTCCCAAGAAAAAGTGAGCTAAAAAGGAAAAGCTGTTTATTAGCACTAATGACAGGCACACATCAAGCACCCCACTATGGAGAATGGGGTGCAGCTGCACCCCAGGCAAGCCAGGCCACCCGTCCCCATCCTGCGAAGGGACACCCCGGGGGAGAAAAGCCGCTGGCATTGGCAGCACAAAGCGGGGCGGGAGGGGAGCGGGGTGGTGATTTATCCTAATCCGGCGCAAGGCGGGGAGGGCAGCAGTGGCAGCATGCGGCATCTGGCGGTCCCCGGGCGGCGGTGTGGGAACGCCGTGCATTCCCCCAGCCCAGCGCGGCCAGCCGGCCTCCCATTCAGCAGGGGAAGAAAAGGGACAATAGCTATTCAGGGCCTGCCAGGGTCGCGACCCCCCCAAATCAGAGCTGTTTAATGACCCAAAATACCAACATCCCCAGCAACCCAGGGAGAGACAGAACAATCCGCCTTTCAGGCCTCCTCCCCGGGGTGACAATAGCCCTCAGAGGCTGGCCCCCAGCCCTGCCGCAGAGGTCCCTCGTCCCCACACCCCAGGCAGGGAAGGGTCCCCACCAGCCCCCAGAGCTGCTGGGGGAAAGAGGACAAAAGAGGGTGTCCAGCACCCCGCTGCACCCAGCACCCCCTGTCCCAGGAACAAGGGACGTTGGCTGGTCCCCTTCCCATGGCCATTACGGGGGTGTTTAGGGGGCACAAATCCCCTGTGCCAACCTCTCCCCCATGGGTGCCTGTGCCCCACATCCCAGACACCCCCAGGGCCATATGTACCCCACCACCTTGGGAATCCCTCCACAACCCCACCACCGTGGGGACCCCCATGCCTGCTCATTGCCCCCCTACCCCCAAATAGCCCCTTTACCCATCCAAGCCACCACCCTGGGGACCCCCAACCTGCCGGTGCCCTCCCTGAGCATCCCCCCACCTGCGTGTGCCCCCACCCTGGGCACCCCCATGGGCTTCCATGACCCAGGGCAGGATTTGGTCCCCAAGCACCGTACAGCACTGGGCCTTTGTGGTTGATGGCGGCTCAGGGGTAGCACAGAGGGAGCTGGGCATGGTGGGGCAGGATCCTGGGAAGGGTCTGCAGTGGATGGGCTCCGCACACGAAGGGACTGCAGGCCAGAAGAGGAAAAGGCCATAGCATGCAATAGGGCCCAGGGAGGTGCAGCAGGGAGGAGGCTGGGCAGCACAACCCTGTAAGGGACCACAAACACATGGGCAGGGCCAGGCAGCATGGGATACAGCAAGCACCTGGGGACCAGGTGGGATGGCATAACACAAGCTGGCAGCGGGCAACCCCGGGCAGCGTGGGCTTGGGCAGCACCGGTAAGGGCTGGGCAGCAGTGTGGGACTGGGCAACGAGGAGCAGAGCTGTGCAATTCCAGGGCAGGCAGAGCAGGGCGGTGCAAGGCAAATCCAGATGTAGTATAGGACCAGGCAATACAATCCAGGATCAGGCAGTATAATGCAGCGTGGCGCCCAGCAGCACAGCGCAGTACAGCCAGCAACGTGATGGCAGAGCGGGCGATGGGACGTAACACAGGGCAAGGCAGCACAATGCAATATGGGACTGGGAAAGGCAGCACAGTACAACCCAGCTCCAGCTCAGGCAGTGCAATGCAGTATGGGACCCAGCAGCACAGCATTGTGCAACACCGTGCAATGCAATTCCAGGTCAGGCAGCACTGTGCAATACTGGACCTGGCAGCAAAGCGCTGCATGGTGCAACTCTACACTAACCAGTGCAATTCAATAAGGGACCTGGAAATACAGAGCAAATCTAGATCAGTCACGTCAGGCAGGAAAGCACCGGACCAGGCAGGGCAGCACGGGGCCTGGCACCAGAACCCCGTGCAGCGCAGTGCAGCGAGGGACCAGGACACGGCAGCGCTGGACAGGACCCGGCGGCACGGTGCGGAGCAATGCAACTGCAGAGCAGGGAGCACGAAGCGGTGCGAGACCACGCAGGGCTGAGCAATACTGCAAGGCACAGCACGGTGCAATGCAACTCTAGAGCAGGGAGCACTGTGCTGCACGGCGCCGAGCAACGCAAGGCCAGACCGCGGAGCCCGGAGCAACGTGCAAACAGGCAGGGCTGCGTGGCACCCGGCGATGCAAAGCAGCGCAAAGCAACGCAATCGCAGCCCGGGGAGCCCGGCGCAGGGCCCGGCCGGGCCGGGCAGGGCAAGATACGCCGGGGCAGGGGTCGGCCGTCCGGCGGCTCCCCCCGGGCTGACTCACCGGTGTCCTGGCGGAACTGGTGCATGGACTGCAGGTCGATGATGTAGGGCGCCAGGCGGCTGTCGGCCTGGCCCAGCACCACGCT